AATTATCAGAGATCTTAAAAGAACACAGGTTTCAGGGACTTTGGGACCTAAGTCAATCATCTGAGAGACTAAGCTAGTACCTGGTTGCAGAGACCCACTAAAGTGGATCTTTTGGCATAAAAGTATGGTATGTCTCATATCTCCATCACATTGGAACAAAATGCACAGCAGCACATGGGTCATTTAAGACCTTACCTAACTCGTTATTTCTTCCCAAAGAATCGTGCAAAAAATAATGATTAGAAATGTTGGAAGAAATTGGCTCATATTTGACTGTTTGGTCATTGGAGAGGCACTACTAGGAGGTGTGGCCTTTTCAGAGTAGGTGTGAGCTTGTTGGGCAAACTGTTACAAGAGTTGCCATAGGGGGAAGGCCTAAGTCCTGCCCCAAATGACTTGACAGATTTTCATGGGAGGGAGAAGGAAATTAGATGGTTTCCAGTTTAAATAAAATGTATAAAATCATTTCTATTTAAATAAAATGTATAAAATTGTTTCCAATTTAAATAAAATTTATGAAGAAAAAAAGAAATGTTGGAAGAAGTTAGTAGCTATTTCTGAACAGTGACAGTTTTTGAGTGAGTCACTCTAGTTTTGCTGCATCCTCTTGCCTTTGAATGCTGATGGAATTTCCCCTTTCACGTGGTTGCTTTTCTTTCCCAATGTAGGAATATACCACTTACTCGGAAACGATTTCTATATATGGATACTTCTTTGAGATAAAGGGAATCAAACATGATAGTACCTCTTACAGTTTTTCTATGCAGGTAAGAAGCAGGAACATGGGAAAGGCATGCCTCTGAAGCAGCCACCAAGGGCCAGCTGATTGATAAGGGATTAAAAGGAATCAAGGAATCATTAGTTCATCATTCATACAGACTGTGTTGTAAAGCACTGTTCACACTCATGCATGTGATGCCATGTGATTTTCGAAACCAGCTGGGGAGGTGGAGACGGGTAGGAGATAAGGCTGTCAACTCTGAGTGACTTCCCTTTCATGTCATGTGGCCTCTTTACGAAGTCAGGGTTCAACTTGACTGTTCTGGAAGTCAAATCATCATCAGTCTGTACATAACGGTGGATATTGTGCCCATGGTCAGTCTTTGAAGAAGTGACAGGTAGTGCCTATAAGTAGGAGAGGGGTGAGTCTGTCTAAAGTAACAACAGAGCAGTGTATGGGACATCTGAGGAACCAGGCAAGGGAGGGATGTCTCAGCGTTCTCCTCAAGCCTTCAGGAGAGGTTGAAGAAGACTGTTTAAGGGCAGCAAATTGCAGTTAGACTGCCTGGCAAGCTGCATGCGTTCAACAAGTCCCATGATCCTCCTGCCTTTAAGATGAAATACATGGGCTGGAGAGAGAGATGGCTCAGAGGTTAAGAGCCCTGACTGTTCTTCCAAAGGTCTTGAGTTCAATTCCCAGCAACCACATGGTGGCTCACAACCATCTGTTATGAGATCTGATGCCCTTTTCTGGTGTACAGATATACATGGAAGCAGAATGTTGTATATATAGTAAATAAATAAAATCTTTCAAAAAAAAGACAAAATACAGTAATAGGGTCAACCTTGGAGTATTAAATGCGTTAATTGTGCAAAGGGCTTGCAACCTGTTTGGCATAGAAAGCATTGTGTATTTTTATTGGAAATTTGGTAGTTAGGGATGGAACTCAGGGCCACGTGCATTCTAAGCATTTGCTATATATACCATTGAGCTTTGCTCCCAGCCTAGTACTTCGTATATTTAGCAGTGAGGGTAGTGACAGTGATGGGTGCTGTGGTGAAGGACTGCTGTATTCCATTTAGAATTTGATTAGAAATCTCTCTTCTCTCAATGCCAAGCTCCTTGAGAAACCATCTCTCACGTGGCTTTTTATTTCCACTGCCAGTCACCATGTCTAGAACCTAGGGAAAATTTAAATGACTGAATAAGAGGATGGATAAATGAATGAGCAAATGATGAAATCTGAGTTTTAGTCCCAGTTTGGCCACCACCTTCTAATGTGTCCCCACAGCAAGTCCCTCCTCCTCCTGGGTCCTCCATTCTTGGTCACCAGGCCCTCAGGCATCTTCCTGACTGAACAGAAGAGATGAGTTTTGTAACACCACCATCGGCCCTTAATGTATACACTGTTGGAGCTTTATCCCAGCAAAACAATAAGGAAGCCTGATTCAGTGGCCAAGCCCTGGTCCACTGAAAGTGGTTTGCTTAAGGAAAGGTCTCAGACATCACAGGGTTCCATCGGTGGCCCTCAGGAAATTATGCCATTTGGCGAATGGCCTTGTGCTATCTGTATTTCGAAGGAAACAGGAAGGCTCTGTGTCAGGAACTGTTTGCTAGCTCTGGTCACCCTGGTCACAGGGTCACACAGGGTGGGCCATTTTCTTTGCAGAGGATAAGACATACCGACTTGGATTGCCCCTCCCCCATCTGTGAACACAGTGCCATCAGCCTGAGAGCTGAGCGCCTGGTGAAGTATGAGATCAGAGCCCAGACGCTGGTGGATGGCAAGTGGCAGGAGTTCAGGACAAACCAGATCACACAGAAGTTTGGGTTCATCAAACCCGGCTGCAAAAGCCATGTGAGCATCCCCCTTGCCTGACTTTTCTCTTTCTCTTCTGTTTCCTTTTTGCTCCTTTCCTCCCTCACCCCTTTTTGGGCATTCCTGTCTTCAAGCCACCAGTGACCTATCAGAGTATTGTTTTCAGTTTCTTAAGGATGAGCACGGTCCAAATGATACCAAAGAAAAACCGGCTAGAATGAAAAGCAGTAGTTGTGGATGACACTAACAAATCAAATCAGGGGCACAGCAGACCCATCTTATAAATGTCAGAAGGTGTTTATGTATAGATGTAAGGTGTCACAGCTCATCAGTTCCTCTGAAATCCTTCTCAGGTTTCCTGCCTCCCCCGGGCTAACCCAGGAGGACAGAACCTGGTCAACCCTAGGGTAGTACCAACATCTAGGTAGACTTAGTACCTGCCTAGCAGCCACTCCCCAAATAGCCAGAAAAACACAAAGGAGCTCTTTAGGCTGTGGGTTTGAGGTCGGGGCTCATGCTGGTGACCTGTTGAGAATGTTGCTGTACCACAAACCACAGAGTCATTCTCTGTCCAGACCTTGGGGACACATTAGAATCACCTGAGGCTTTGAGCCGCCCCTGTTTCCTATCAGGGAGGCCACTAAAGTGGTGAGACAAATGCTCCACAGGTGGGGCCTGGGTTTAATGCTTATAAAGGCTTCCCAAGGCATTTCACCTTGATCAGTGACAGCACAGGTGTGGCCTTGGGACAACTCCCAAAGATGTAAACACTTTACTGTACCTACATTATGACTAAATTTTGTTTATATTCTCTGTAGACTACTCTGATGTAGCCAGAACTGGGAACCAGGAGCTTATGTAGCTGTCGTGGGCACAGCAACCTCATCCTGAAATTATCATCTGTTCTGTTTTATTTCTTACCTCAGGCCTTGAAAATCCAAACCCTGGGCATCCCAATCTATGCCAGCTTTGCGTTTATTTTCCCAGCATCTTGACAGTTTTCAGAGGAATCTATGGGATTCCCCACAGCCCTGACCAACCTGTCTACATAAGAGGAAATAAAGCGACATTAACCAGGGGAGCCCAGCTGTTTGTGCTTGTTAGTCCCACCGGGTCCTCTGCTCAGGCGCTCGAATTATAGGTTATTGTAATCTGTGTTTATTTTCATCCAAAGATATGATTGGGGAAAATTCACGTCCAATTCTCTCAGGCTGTTGACAGGCTAATCTTGCAGCTAAATGCCTAACAGCCTAAGTAGCTACTAATAGCCTTACACAATGTCCTGCAGTTCTCGGGGACATCCTGGGTTAGAAGTTAAACCCTTCCCTAAAAGGGTACAAAGGGTCACCTTTGGGTGTGTCCACCTCTCTGTGTTACCTGTTGTCTTTGAGAATGTGGAGAGTTGAGGGTGTTGTGCAAACCCTCACTTTTTGGGGGTTACATTCAGTCTGATGGCTGCTGTGGAAAGACACAGTTGAGGGAGTTTTCTCCCCAGCAGAGAATCTCAGAAGGTTGGAAGGGCTGGTGAGAACGTGGAAGGCAGACCTAGTGGGAAGAGTCACAGCTAAAGAGCTGGACTTTGGGAGCCTGCTTTCAGGACTGTTCCCTCCCTCCTGCTTCCCACACTTCTACACTGTTGTGCCTGTTCAAGTCCAGTCAATGAGAAGTAGTAATGGGAGCGGCGAGACAAGAGAGGAGAGAAACTGGGGTAGCTATCACCTCTAGGCTACACAGCAAGGGTTTAATAGAGTTGGAAATACATATGACACTGTGGGGTAGATATTGGAAAACATGGCCTTCGTAATTCAGATTAATATGAACACCAGTGAGACGCTCACTCAGGCACAAAGTCTATAGGGTATCATGGCCCCATAAACGCTCAGTAACCTGGACAAAGGATATTCTGATGCAAATTCTATTTTTCAAAGCTCAAAATCAATGGGAAAAGAACCCACTATGTGGACACATAGGACCACTGCTCATATCAAAACATAATGGAGCAGTGGTGGTACATGCCTGTAATCCCAGCACCTGGGATGCAGAGGCAGGCAGAATTCTGTGAGTTCAAAGCCAGCTCCAGGCTTTGGAGCTGGTCTACAAAGCAAGCTCCAGGACAGCCAGAGCTGTTACACAGAGAAACCCTTTCTCAAAAAACCATAAAATAAAATAAAATAAAATACAAACAACAACAAAAAAAATAAAAACCCATAATGGTCAGGTTCTGGATGCCCCAGCCAGCCTCACCTAGGCTCCCTCATTCCAGCAAACACACCCAGACTTCCATCATCACCAATTAGTTTTAGTTTGGCCATGGAATCTGATTGACTATTTTACAAACAGTAACACACCGTGGCCATCGTACTAGCTATTTTTCTTGTTGCTGTGATCCTGACAAGAAGCAACAGAAGTTAAGAAGGGGCTGTTTTGGCTCACAGTTCAAGGGTGCCATCCATCATGCAGGTGAATAATGACATCAGGAGCTTGAGACCGCTGGCAATGTCACCTCTGCAGTCAGGAAACAGATAGATGAATGCTGATGTTCAGTCACTTTCTCCTCTCTATTCTGGGCCCCCGGCCCACAAATGACACCCACATTTAGGGTGGGTCTTCTTCCCACCTCATGTAGCCCAGAGGCCTGTCTCATAGGTGATTCTAGATCCTGTCAAGTTGACAACCCATGGTCATCATCACAGGCATCCCTTGCAGCCGCACACTTTCATCCAACAGCATCTAACAGATTTGACCACAGTTGCCTGGAGGTGCAGTTTATCAGACAAGCATAGTTGTTTCACTCCTTAGAAAAAAAATCAGTGTTGCTTAGTAACAGGTTGCTGAAGAACAATGAGAGAAAAAACACAGAACCACCATCACTGAGGAGCTTGATGGGGAGACGCTCTGGCGTGGTTTTTGGGTCTCTCCTAGGTTTTTTTTGTTTTGTTTTTTCATTCAAAATGGGTTATGCATGTGTGGTACAGGAGATCTGTAGATGATGCTAGAAAGGACTACAGTCTAGAAGCTTTCATTCCTCTGTGGGGATCCTCACTGTAACACACACACACACACACACACACACACACACACACACACGTCTTCTTTCCCAGTGCTCCCATGCCCACAAAGCAACAGGCTTAGGAATCTGTTTAACCACCCTGGGTGATAAGAAGAAAAAAAAATCATCCTCTAATACAATATCAATACAGTCTCCACAAGAAAGCTCCCCCATGGAAGCTGGGTGGTGGTGGAGCATGCCTTTAATCCCAGCACTTGGGAAGCAGAGGCAGGTGGATCTGTGAGTTCGAGGCCAGCCTGGTCTACAGAGTGAGTTCCAGGACAGTCTCCAAAGCTACACAGAAAAACCCTGTCTCGAAAATAAGAAAGAGAGAGAGAAAGAGAGAGAAGAAAGAGAGAAGAGAAGAGGAGAGGAGAGGGGAGGGGAGGGGAGGGGAGGAGAGGAGAGGGGGGGGGGGGGGGGAGGGGGGGGGGGAGGGGGGAGGGAGAGAAAGGGAGAGAGAGAAGGAGAGAAAGAGAGAGAGAGAGAGAGAGAGAGAGAGAGAGAGAGAGAAAGAGAGAGAGAGTCTAATTCTAAGAGTCCACTCCTGTCCACCAGAGGGCACAGTTGACCTCCAACTTGGAAGCCAGAATTCCAGTGGCTGAAATTGGCAACTCACTCTCCTAGTTAGCATTATCTGTCAACCTGACACAGTCTGGAGACTTCTGAGAAGGGAGTCTCAGCCGAGGATTGCCCAGATCAGACTGGCCTGCATGCATGTCTGTGGGGCATTGTCTTCTTGCTAGTTGATGTAGAAGGGTACGGCCCACTGTGAGCAGTACCATTCCCTGGGCAGACAGTCCTGGGTTGTAGTAGAAAGTTAGCTAAGCACAAGCTTGTGAATGAGCCAGCAGGCAGCATCCCTCTATGGGTTTGGTTTCAAGGTCTCCCTTGAGTTCCTGCCCTGTCAGTGTGAGTCAAGTACATCTTTTCCTCTGCAAAATTGCTTTGCATACTAGCAACAGAAATGAAACTAGAACACATGCCTTGCAGCACTGTCTCCTTCTTGCTTAATGGTTGAAAATGAAACTAGCACATCTGGGGTGAGAGGCAAGGAGTCCAATCATACACTCTCTGAACTTGGGAAGTACAATTCTTGAGACAAAAAATTCTCAAGAGACTCTCACGAGCTCTTCTCATGAGGGGAAGCTTCATTGACTCTGAGTTTATGACGCATGGTTGCAATGCCCAAAGCAGTGGGTCTGGGCACTGGGCAGTGTTTCGTCCTATGTGCTGTTTTTGGAACTGACCCTTTGTTTGATTCTCTCATCATTCACTTCATCTCCCAGGCCCTGGAGAAGGAAAGTTTGGTCCTCAGAAGATGGTTGTAGATTCACTTGAAACATAGCAACTTTCAGGTTCCAGCTGACCTAGATTTGGGTCCCAACTCTGCTAGCTGTGTGGCCTTAGGCAAGTCAGCTAAACTCTCTGCCTCAGAATCCAATCTGATGCTGGTGCTGGCGGTGCTAAACAAACCGTGGTGGCTTTGTCAAGTACCTAAACATATCGCAAACACTTGATAAATGTTATTCCTGTTGTTCACTTGCCGCTTGGAGTTACTTTTACTTGGTGAAGGTTGAGACTGATGCCATGTAGGCTTGGCGCATCCTTCTTGGCGCCGGATGCAGAATGAGATAGTTGGACCAGTGGTTCCCTTGGGTCTTCGAGGCTGCATTCACAGATGGTGATTTTGGAGAGCCGAGGAGCAGCTGAGCCTGTGAAGCAGGAGTGGTGGTGCTGAGGAAATAAACACTGGCTTACTTTACCTCAGGCTTGTCAGAGTAAGAATGAATTGTGGGGTGGGAAAATGGCTCAGTGGGTAAAGTGCTTGCCACACAAGCAGGAGACTTGAGTTTGCATCCTCAGAACCCACATAAAAAGCCAGATACCCCACCACTGCTGGGGAGGCCAAGGCAGGAAATTTTGGAGCTAACTGACCAATCAGTGAAAGACCCCATCTCAAAACAAAAACAAAAACAAAAAACTGAGTATGGTGGCATATACCTTTAATCCCAGAACTTGGAAGACAGAAATAGGCAGACCTCTTCAAGTTTAAATTGAGATTAGCCTGGTCTACATATGAATTCCAGAGCTATGTATTGAGACCTTGTCTAAATGCCTAAATAAATAAAAATAACAGTTAGGAGCACACATACTTGGGGGGGAGAAGGAGGAGGAGGAGGAAGAGAAGACAGCAGCATAGAAAGAGAACCTTCAACCTCTTTTCCTTTTTTTTGGACATGGGGTTTCACTGGCAGGCCTCCTGCTGAGCCCCACCTGCCTCTGCCACCTGAGTGCTAGATGCTAGGATTAAAGGCATGCACTACCACTCCAGGCCTGCCTACCTCCTTTTTGAGATAGCATCTTATTATGTAGCCCAGGCTAGCCTGGAAGTCACAATCTTCCTGCCTCAGGATTACAGGATTAAGCTACCACACCTAACTCTCCTCTTTTTAGAGGTGTTGTGTCCTGCTGACCATTATGTCTTGCAATACCAGAAGAGAGGAAGCCGAGGTTGGGGAGGGAAGCACTAGGCTTGTGAGCTCTCAGAGGACGGGTGCAGTGAGGAGGGCCAGACTGACCCAACTTCTCCCACAGGATGGATGTAAGATGTGATATTTTGATGAGTGGATCCATGGCCTTGCTAGCTGACAGTAGAGGAGATTTCAGGGAAAGAGAACAAAACCCCAAGGAAGCCCCAAAGCAGGGCTAGCCAGCAGAGCTTCCTATTCAGATGAAAATACCATATGTCTGTCCTGCCCAATGTGGTAACCACAAGCTATGTGCAGCTGCTAAGTGCTTGGAGCATGACTAGTGCAACAAAGAAGCTGGGTTTTGACTTTTCTGCCATCTTGCTGCTTTACGTTTAAATAGCCATTAGTGGGAGTCAATGGAGTGACAGCTCTGTGCTCACCCTAGAACATGGACCAGCCCTTCCTGATGCCACACTCTCCAGACCCTCTGCCTTCCTGTACAAGTAGAACTAGCCATGACTCAGGCTCAGTTTGGGCCACCCCCAAAACTCCCAGGAG